GTTTTTTTTGTTCTGTTGCAGCTACTGACCTTTGTATAATGATAAAGGCCTCAGTTTTCAATATCGCTAGGTTATTATCTTTATATGTAGAAAAGCTGTTATTTAAATGTTTAAGATAAATCTGCTTATAAAAGAGGGTTGAAAAATTCTGGCCCTACAAAAGGGATAAAGATTGTTATTATTTGACAATCCAGATCCAGTTCTTAATCCACTTCTCTACACCTATTTGGTACCCAGGGATACCAACAAATTTTCATCTTTTGAATAAAAAATTCCATTATTTCAATTGTGAACTTTAAAAACTGTTTGCAGTGCTTTAGCAAATCAAGTAATACTAAAAGCAAGCAGAGAAAAAGAAGTTGCTTAGTAAATAATTTAAAATAAATTAACAAAATTAAGAGAAAAATGTTAAAATACCGTTTTATCTTCAAAATTTTACTTAGCTACTTTAGTGTAGGTAAGCTCTTAACCTTTGCAGCCTCTATTTTCTCTTTTGGATGTGTCACAGGAGATACCTTCTTTCCCTTTTGTCATCTTTATAGAATTCTTGTTAATAAGAGAGAAGTGTAATTTTAATCTGTTTTTTTATAACTCTCTTCTCCATAGCAACATTTACATTTCCTCTGACTGGTATTCTTTGCATGCAGTGCACAGTCTGTGTTTGACTAAAATGCTGTAGTTACTGCAAAATACATAGTAGCACAATAAAACAATTACGTAAACAAAGAAGGATTTGATATAGAAAAAAACAAGTGCATATTCCTTGCTGCAGGTTAATGTCACTCTCTTAATATTTATACTGAAATGTTAACATCAGGAACATCACAGTGGCAGACTGAATTTTATTTCTTCTTCCATGTATGGATGTAACTATCTATTATGTCCCAGTACTAATATGGTTCTAGGAAGTGGACAATTAAGTGCATAGATTGCAAAAGTAAAAAACACCAAAATAATAGTATTTAAATGTTCTATCTTACAGCCACTGGGTAAGTAGAATTTAAAGTAGAACATTTAAATTTTCTGTTAAAATGTGAGAGTTTAAATGTTCTTTCCATTCTCTCCCAAGGTTTTGCCCTTTTGAGAAGAGCTATGGAAGCATGCCTAGCAGTATATGAAATTATTTGCATTTCTTTATACACTTAAAGAAGCCATTATTTATGATGTCATAAACAAACAATCTATATTATAGAATACCTGGCACATGTATACATTAACTGTCCTTTTTTTTTTTTTTTTTTTTTCTCCTCATTCTTTTCTGAGGAGCTTCACTGACGTGTGTGACAGTTTTTATGAACTTTTGTTGGTAAGGGTGAAAGAAGGCAGACTTTTATGAGGTCCTGTATCATACAGCTCCTGCTTCTAGAATCTGTATTTCAGTCTATTTATGGGGTTTTTTTGTTTCGTTCACGGTAGCCTCACAGTTTTCTGGTCCAAGAAGCAGTGCAACATCCTTGATGTTGGACTCCTGTCTTCATTTGTTTTATAACATTAGTAGTATCTGTAATTTGTTTTTAGAACACCACACACATTTCCACGAGGGATTCAAAACAATACTAGATTATTTGCAACTGTGGAAAGCATGGGCAACAACAGCGCTGGAAAAACCTCCTACAGTTAGTTATTCTGTGTTACATTGTGTTACAGGACCCCAAGTTGACCTGAATTTAGAGGTGGAATTGTTAAAATGTCCCACTACAATACAAAATACAATAAGAAAATTTGGTAAAGAAAATTTGGCTTTTCTGGGAACGATAGATAAAAAGAAAACAGTTTGGAAACAAATACCCCTCTCTTTTCTTCACTGTGTCCATGCTAGGCCCTGTGCTCTAATCTTGCTCTTTAATCTATCCTTTTTTTTTTTTTCTTTTTTTTTTAAATTGCAACAAAATTTAAGCAGTTCCATCAAGATCCCTAAGTCTGCGTCAGAAAATCACCTTGAATTTCTCCTGGTGCTTACAGGCCTGCAGGCTCCTCTTGCTGCCATAGCTGGCAGCACCGCAACAGCCTCTTCCTACTAAGAGTTGTGTGCAGGAAGGAAGGTACACTTCCCTTTGGAGGGCTCCTCCTAACCAAACTGCTACAACCAGCAGACAGCAAATGGCCAGACTTCCTCCCTGCACCTCTGTCACAGTCATTTTAACAACACATGTATTACCCAGATTGCATTGGATATTAGAAAGAATTTCTTTATTGAAAGAGTGGTCAGGCAATGGAACAGCCTGTCCTATCATGTTTCTCCTTTAGAGACAAACACCAGAGGAAGGAAAAGACACTAATGGAAAACTAATAGGAACAGGAGGTACTTTGGTATAGTTGGAATTGAATAAAGACACCAAAATGGCATATTTTACCATAGGTGCAAGTAGAATAGCTAGATCTGCAGTGCTTTTTGAGGACCAGGAAAGATAGTTTACTGCAAAGCTGCTTCTTGGCAGTGCATAAAGCAAACCACAGGAATCAGAGGTACCTGCTGGGTTTTACACAGAGACAGGCAGTTTTTAGACTATGCAATAAAGGGTCAGACCAGAGAACTATTACTGTTATTGTTAGGAAAGTTATTTGTTTCCTATGGCCTCCCAGAAGGGATAATGTCAGACAAACCTCCACAGTTTAATTTGAAGGAATTTGTAGCAATTATTAAACTGAATTGCTGACATATAGGATCTTGTAACAGCCAAGTTTCAAATCAGCAACAGAATAAAGATTTGTCTGGCTGTAATAGAGGTAGATTTTATGTTTTAAGTAAAAGAATATGAACCTGGATTTTGAAGCTTAGGTGAAAACTGACAAGAATGACAGCATAATGGAATGTAACTCTCATCTGCTGTCCTTATTATTCCTAATCAAGGCTTTCACTACTAATAAATGGTATTGACAAACAGAATTCAGCAATAGATGGAAGTCTAATTTGTGAAGTCTTGTTAACGTGCTTTTGAAAATATTCTCAGTAAAAATAATAGGGATAGTTTTATATACACGCAACTTGTATAGTAATTAACAGGAAATAATAGAATCCCCCTGCCCTTCTTTCAACCTATCACCACTCTCTTGGCTATAAGCTTTTTCATTTATTTTGAATGTTATCTGGAAACAAGTATTTCTGCAGTGATTCTTCTTGTACCTAACATTGCACTTGTTGCCTTGGATGTGTTGACTGTATTTGAAGTACTGTTTTGCAGAATGTGGAGTACAAATTAGCTCAGTATGAAAACATATGAGATTGCTGTGTTTAATGGGCTTGGGCAAACTGCAGAGTTCTTTAGTATTTAATTCCAAAGGTGGAAATTTAGACATCATTCTTTTCTGCCTCTTTATCTGAGATGCCAATGAAAGGATGCTTGTAATTTTTACGTGCATTAAGCAAGAAGATGTCAGTAAAAAGAAGACCAGACACCCCAGTGTTAGGAAACCAATTTCAGTGCTACTAAAGAAAATGGAAAAAAAATCATATTGCAACTTTATTCCTTTGTTAGAATGAAAAACAAAAAACTTCCACTTACAGAATCAAAGTAGTTAACCAAGTCAAAGACTTGGTAGATAAACATTCAGAAAGTTTTTAAACTGCTCTAAATAGTGCTCTAATCTCTAATTCAGGACTTAGCTCATCTATTTACAGTTCAGATATGTGTAATTTACATACAGGTCATACTTGAATGTGATCACAGCTTGTATTTTGCTATTGGATCATTCAAGTTTTAGGATTAAAGACTTGCAGTGATTCTCCTCGCCATGAATTTTATTACATTTTATATTGTGAAAACAAATCAATTGTTGCTTTCAGTATTTGTGAATTAGAAGTCATGTCACAACTATCTTTCATGACATACTAATATGGACCTTAGCATTTAGCTAAGTACTGTATGGAAGTTGTTTATTCTATCTGTTTTAATTCAGAGCAAAAATATCAGTCAGAAGCTCACGAGAGATCTTGAAGATCTTTTTGCATTTGGTATTGATTCACCTGCCTGTTTCTGTGTTCAGCTGATGCCTGCGACGACACCATTTATTATATTGGAAAAATAAATTTTCTGAGAAGTTAGATTTAGCACAAGGCTAAATTGCTGTATGTGGTGAATTTCTCTATGAGTATGAAAGTAAGAGAAGAATTCCGAAAAAGAGAAAACTGTATTTTGCCTATAATAGTTTATTTTTCTGAGTTCCTCTCCATTACCTACAATGGGTTTTCTTTTTCCTAAAGTGAAAACAGAACCCATTTTTCAACTCTTTATAAATAAGGTATTTTATATGTAATGGAGTCTATTGCTTGCTCTCCGTGCCTTACGTGAGTTGTTACTTACAGTAAATCCTGTGCATACAACCAGGTAAGGCTAATCTTGTCTAAGAACATCTGTGTGATATAAATATGCATATATGCCTAAAAAATTACCTTTTATTTGCATATATGTACATATAATCATACTTCTGTTTATAGTACAGAAATGTATTGTTCTACGCACCCATTATTGTATATTACACATATATGATAATGTTTGCATAAGGAGTCAGTAACTTTCCATTACCATTTTGTTTTTCTTTCCTCTGTCATAGAGAATAAAACCTTCTACTTCAATATGATAATCTGCTCTTAATGTCAATGTCATTCATCATAAGTGTAGACTTAGTTGTTTACAAAGAATGGCCGGTTTTAAAACTATCTTTATGTTGAACTATATTTGTGTAAAGGAAGATGGAACTACTTCACAGTTCAAGTGTGATCCCATATCTGATGAGAAAACAGCCTCTCTCTTAGTATTGGGGCACTTAACAAATGCATGGTGCTTTTGTGATACCTAGGAGAGAAGCTTCCAAATTATAAACTTAAGTTGATAAACCCTCAATACTTTAAATCAATTGGCAATGTAAACCTAGTTTCTCTAGTTTCTTTCCTTTATACTTTGTTTTATATTGTTAGTGATTTTTTTAATACAACAGCTAAAGTAGCTGTTTGAATTAATTTAATGTATAACGATTGCTTGTTCTGTTTTGTTGTTTTCCAGCTCCCTCAGGCTCAAAAGGTAAATCAAACCTTAGTCATTCAAAGTAGTCATGAGTCCTTCACGTTTCCATGGTGTTGTGAGTATAGTACAGTAGTGGTCAGTGAAACAGTTCACTGTAATGGGGGCTCTGGAGTAGGGAGTAGGGCAGCTGACATCACAGCCAGGTACGTGCTGAGAGCAGCTCTTCAAACATATAAGCTACAACAGGCATGTGGTAGATTGCAACTTTAAAACAGCAGGGAAGTAATTTTATAAAAAAATTGAAATAATAGGATAAATATATAATAGGAAATAACAGAATCACCCCATTACTCCATGTGAAACATCTCTGGATCATTTTGGCTCTTTTGTAGAGACTGCAGAGCCCATGGTATAGCTGCTACCCTTTCACTGCTCCCCACTGTATCTTTCAACACACCTTTGAATACATCCAACATCTGACTTCTCTAGTAGGTTGCATACAGCTTTCATGTAGTATCCTCTTGCCTTAAACAGCTTCTGCATAGATATGGTATGTCACCAGAGTCACCACTGCACATCATGACAGCACAGGCATTGCGGCAAACTTGAAGAATTGCTTGATGCCTATTGCATCATTCTTGTATATTTCACAAATATAATTAAAGCTTCCAGGAAGTAGAAAATCCAGATTATGCTTTTTAGCTTGCACTGAAAAATAGTAAAATGAAAAAATGAATGGAATATACTGGGAAAATGCAATACTCACTTGTCCAAGCTGTTCCTATTGTCCTAGGTAAAGCACCTTTAATAAGAAGTGTCATGGCAATTAATCAGTTAAACATCGTTATTGACAGTGTTGGATGATGATCAAAGTTCAGTTTTTAATGAAACCTATAGGTAAGGTGATCTTCCATGAATAGTTTTGCAGAATGCTGAAGGCATCCACCACAAAAATCAAACTTTAAAATGGTTAATTAATGTATCTCATCTACTTTTTGGTTTAAGAAGCAAGAATTAGGAGGGAGAGCTTTTATTTTTATGATGATATGTATGTTTGTAATTTCCTTGCTTGTGGAGCTCAGAAAATTCTATTTCAAATCTGCAGGTAATATACTTTTATGTGTCCGAAGTTTGTTCTTGTTTTTGATAGTTACAGAGACTACAAAATGTGACATGGTAACAAAAATGGGTCTTTTTTTATTTGTTTGATTTCCTTCTGGAAATAGAAAGCTTAAAGAAATCTTTTGTTTATAGCTTCCTAGAAAAGTAGAAGGACTAAAAGACTGGCTAGTCTGCCTTTTTCATTTTCACCTGCTTATCTAAAAGTTTGTCAAATGCATAGTTGGCCAGTTTGCAAAACAGAGGCAGAGTGAGGTTATAATATGCTGGTGTAAAAAGATGTAAGCAGTCAGGATGTTTACCAGATTGTGACATGTAGCACTCTATTATACATTCTGATGTCCATAAAACATCTATTAAGTATTGTTCTGATACAAATTACTCAAGTAAGAGGTTAGCAGAAAAGCACACAGTTTTCATGGGAGGTCAAAAATGCCAATTTTCAGTGTGTTTACCCCTTGAGCAAACAAACTAATGCAGAACTAAAGCCACATATTTTGTGTATGTGTGCTTAATGTCTAGTTGACTGAAAACTGCTTTCGTGCAGAGAGAGGAGAGGGGTGAGGAGGAAAGAATGGGATAGAGAGGGAGAACAGATACTAGCAATGCACGAGGGCTTTTGATACCTTCAGGTAAGAAAAGCCTTTTCATAAGCATGGCCTGATAGCTTGTGACCAAAGCTTGCTATCTGCAAGGGGAAGGGAAGCAGCACAGGGCTGATGCATGCCTTTATGAATGACTTAGTCACTAGTGAACATGTTTTGCCATATGGTGTCTGAACTCGTACTGTATTTTTGTTGGAATCCATGCATCATCTTGCAAATGTTTTCTCTATAAACATTTCAAACAGTCATGTCTCTGTAAACATGTTCACTTTAATCTTTGAGTGACCTGGAAGAAAAAAGTGGCATTCCAAATTTACCTTTACTATTTTATATCCATTTTAAATATTCAGTCATTTAGATGAAATGCCTTATGTCTTCTATGTGAAACACTTCGGCTACATTCTCCTCAGTGTTCAGCCAATGTTCTGTAGTGATTAGCTATCACTTTTTGAAGACCTGTAGGTTCTCAACTGTCTATGGCAGTTAAATAACAATTAAAACACATTACAACATGTTATGCTCTCTGTTCTGAATTAAATTGTTCCAAATTCAGAATCAAGTATGAGGAGTTCAAGGTGGATGTCTGTTGCACCATAGTATTTATCTTGAAAAGATCTTTGTGATAAACCCCAGAATTAAAATAGAAAGTACAACAAAACCAAAACCAACACCCTGATTTCATGTGATAGATACATGTGATAGATATGCTGATTTAATATTGTTATGTAACTTTCAGAAGAAAATATTTTTAGGAAGAGCTAACATATCTAAAAGAATAGAGTCACTACCCAGAAAAATGGAACAAATTTATGTGAATTTTATACATCCTCTATGTTGCTTTCCTGCATGTTTTTAAGTAGGCGTCCCACCACAAGGCTATGAAAATAGTAATAAAGCAAACAACTAACTCAAACCCACCAATTTTCTGACTTTTTCAGTTTGGCTTCCAAAATTACCTTTATCTTTGAAACTCTTGAAAAGGAGCTTTTGTGTATTCATGGATGAGCAAAAGCTATTCTTCTTTAATAGCTCTAAGAGGTGTTTTGTTTTCTAGTAGGAAAGCTTTATTTGCTTTCTTGAGCAAACACAGCAGGACTCAAAATCTGTTGTCCTGCTCCTGCTGTGATATTTATTTTCTACCTAGCTTGTGTGAAGAGGTAGAAGTGAATAAATTAGGCAGAGAAATCAGAAACAGACAGTTGTGTTTAGGAACATTTAGGAAAGCTTTTTTTCAAGGATTCTCTCATGAATGGAATCCTATTTGCTCCATATAGAAATGCTTTGATGATATTTGTTGCCCAAAAGTTCCTGACAGCTTTCTTCTCTCTTCCTATGTTATCCCTTAACTTCTGTAAGTTGTGCTTTGCCATCCTTTAGCCTTGATTCTATGATCTTTCAGCCATTTGGGAGCATCGTTTATCATTCCCTGCCTCACTTAACTTCTTATACTTTGAGGAGTTGAATTAATTTTCACTGGGGAAACGAAGTCTGCAAAGCTGTTATTTTGCTGAAGTGCATGACTAGGAATTTTAATATTTTTATAAAATTATAGAAGTTAAAATTAAATTAAGTACAAAGTAATAGTGACGTAAACAATTTGACCCCATTTTAGCATTCTTTTGGATCTGGTTCCTGCTAAAAAATGGAAAATAATCTTAACATAAGTATATAAAGTTGAGTGATCCATTCAGAAAACTGCAATAAAGTTTTCACTAACATGTAATTGCAATAAATTCATTTCCAAATTTTTGTCTCACACTCAACAAGCAAGCTGACTTTTAATAACATTTTTGAGTCAGCAACTTGCAAACTAGGTAACTACTTTACAATCTGAGGCTTTTTTGGTGTTTCATTTTTTGTGTGTTAAACACAGAAATTTTTCTCTCACTTAATACAGATTCCTATATTTTCCAGACCATAATTTGAATCTAAGCTAAAATAATAACTACTCCTTATTCTTGTTGTCTATATAACATAAATATACATGAAAAAAAACAACAAACATATAAGGTTTAGATCTCAATATTTATTTCCTTTCTATCACTAATTATATTTCAACAATGAGCACCAAAAAGTAGAACTGCCCCATCAAATGTGCTTTTTATTTAATTTGTGTATTGTTTATTATGCCTTTTTAATTAGTAACAATTAAGGAATGTGTATGTTTAACAGTATATAAAAATACTATTTCATAGCTAGCTAAAGCAAAACAACATTGCATATTATCTTAGAAAAAAATCAAGAATAGCATCTTAAAAAGATAGGGGCTTTGTTACTGTCCTCAATTCTCCCATCGCTGGAGGCACCCACTGATCCATCACTGGCAGGTCCCAGCTTCATGGCAATCGTTGCACACTATATGTAGACAAGAATAACAGTGTATTAACAATAATAGATATGGACACTACCAACTCTGTCAGAAATTCTGGACAAGCTACTGTAATAGTTCTTGAATATACACTCCAAAAGAAAACATTTCAGGGTTCATTCTAAAATTCCTATTGCCATAATGGAAACACCTAAGCAAACAGGTAATCTTTCCTTTATTTGTGCTTCTGGAGTAATTCTAGAGCCTGCCTTCATCTTTGTCCTGGGAGATGAATATTAGGGCTAGATGTGAGGTTAGACTGCCTTTGGTTTAAGTGCTTCATGTGAGGAGTATGGGAATGCTTGTTTATTTGTTGTTTATGAAGATTCATTTGGGGTTGTTCTGTGGGGGGTAACCCTCTATGGCAAGGACTTCCAAGGAAAACTGTAGCAATTAAATCTCTTTCTAAATGGAGTTTTTCTCCAATTATAAATCTATTTCTGTGTCAGAAATTTTTCAGTCAGACTTCAGTCAGATCTGTGACCCTCTCTGAGAGTAAATTCTCTTTCTTTATTCTAAACAGCGAAAAGTCATTTAGCCCTGGAATGCGTTTTTCCTCATTCTTGAGCTGATTTTTAAAGGTTCATTACTGTTTGCTAAGCATTTTATAAAACTGGGTGTCCGTGGCCCTTGTGCAGATTCCCACCTACAACTGTTACCACTAGGTCTTTTCAATAGAGCCACTGTCTGGGACAAACCTCTAATGCCATCTCTTTCATTCATCATTTCAAACTGCAGATGATAACTTAGAAAATCCTGAGATCTAGTTGAAAACTGGATGTTTATCTTTGGGAGTCTAGCTTTAGTTTTTCTTGCCCATGTTATCCAAAGGTAGCCTAAGAATTCTGAGACAAAACATAATGGCGCAAGTTAGAGAAACTACAAGAACTTGCTTTTTTTCAATACTATTAGGTAGAAATGTTGAAAAATTAATATTCCACAGGACAATTAATCCAAACTTTAAA